CAATATACCCTTTAAAAAAAATGCCAGTGGGGTACAGTTGGTAAGTGACAGAACTGGTATTCAGAATCTGTATTGGTTTTGGTTTTCATTATGAAAAGATTTCAACATGTAGTTATGGGAAAATTAGGTAAACTCCCTTATGTCTATTATTAAAATGGGGATAAATGATTGTTTCTAATTCACTTGGCTGTAGGTGCTTATCTTTTTATTAGCAGTAACTCTATATACCCAGCTCTTACTTATATTACTCTGATGGTCCCCACAATGACTTTTTAAATAAAGAATCAAGATACAGGCCCTCCCTGGTGGTGCAGCAAGTTAAAGCACAGCACCAAGAAGCTAAAGCCACTTCCGCATGAGTTCGATTCCTGCCTGCCCCGGAGGTGACCACATGGCGCGGCAGACCTCTCCTGACTCGCCCACTGCTCCCCTCAGCAGTGTACTTCGTCGATCTGCCTGTTCTGCTCCCCACTCTGTCTCTGGTGAACCCGCTCGCCGCCCCTGAGTCTCTGGCCTGTACCCCAGTTCTGTATGCACAAATAAATAAATCTTTTTTTTTAAGATTTATTTATTCATATAGAACTGGGGTACAGGCCAGAGATGCGGAGGGTGAGAGGCTTCACCAGAGACAGAGTGGGGAGCAGAACAGGCAATCCACGAAGTACACTGCTGAGGGGAGCAGCAGGCGGGTCAGGAGAGGTCTGCCACACCATGTGGTCTCCTCCGGGGCAGCAGGGATCAAACTCATGCTGAAGTGGCTTTAGTTTCTTGGTGCTGTGCTTTAACCCGCTGAGCCACCAGGGAGGGCTCAAATAAATAAATCTTAAAAAAAAAAAATCAAGATACAAAACATTCATTGTTACAGTCCTTAACTCATTTTAAAGCTAGAGCCATACCTCCCACATGCACTTTAATTTTTGCTATTGACTTGTTGATATTGAAAGGTATTCTTTATATTTTTAGTTTGAGGTAATCTTTTATTTTTATACTAAACTCCTTCAAGTGTAAATTTTAACTGTTTAATAAGGAAGGAAAATAATAAATAGAAGACAATTCTGCCTAACCTGTCAATATTAACATAGATTTTTTTTAATTTAAAGAGAAGTGTATGGAACACTTAACTGTAATTCAAATGTTGCTGAGTAACAGCTAGTTTTGCACAAGCAAGCTTAATAGCAAAGTGTCCAAAGTAACTAAATCCTGCTAACTTTTATGACTATATCATTTTTATTAAATGCAGTAAATAATAATGATGACAGACTAATAAAATTCTACTTTGCAATAGTAGTATATATAGCTTTAGTGTAATTTTTCCCTTTAACTGATTAAAGAAATACAAATTATAAACATTAATTTTTCACATTTCCTAGTACTGTATAAGAAACTGACATATTTGTTTTGTTGTTTGTAAATAATTTGTCTTCGTTATTGTTCTTACCAATGAGCAACTGTTAAATATTTATAAAGAACTATCAATGGTAATATAGCGATATGTATGTTTTGAAATTGTGTTCCACCCTTGTATATCTCTCAGGCCTCTATAACTTAACTTATTGTTTGCAGCACATACTTTGCAGTTACGTAGTAAACTAAATTCTTAACTTTCTGAAATGGCAACAACGATGATAAAAAACAAAAACAAACAAAAGCCACCACCGGAGTAAGTAGGAAAAAGAGCTGGAAGTTGCTAGCAATGGGCAATGAGACTGAAAGAGTCACAGAGTGGCTGCTGTCTTACTGACCCTAGCATGACCCAGCTGGCAGGGAGCTATGCTCTGTTACAACTGCGAAGACAGTTAAGTATTTAAGTCATCCCATGAGGTAATAATAGGGTGCATGGATGTTGAGGGACCCTGAAGATTCTTGACTTCCTTGCAAAGAAGAATTAATGTGGGAGTGTGTGAGGTGGTATAGGTGAGTTAGCAATGAATCCTTGTGTCTTAAGGCTGCTGACATCAATACTTGCTTAGTTTGAGGGGGCCAGGGCTTACCAATGGGATTGGGTTCTGCCCAGTTCTGTTTAATACAACCACTGCACCCATCACCCCCTTGGTTAAGTAAGATAGTGGAAGTTTGCAGCTAGTGTGAGATAAGGGTCAAACCTATGGGTTTGGGTGTGAGATGAGGGACTAAACTGATAGGGTGTGGGTCCTTTTGTCCTGGAATGTGCATAGCTGTTTTGCCAGAGTTACTGAATGAGGAATACAGGGTGCTGCCACCTTTGCCACATTCCTGTTCCACCAGCCTTCACAGAAGGACTTGAGTCTTTTGATTATATTTACCTGGTCTTTTCATCTCTGTATCTGCAGTAACCCTGTGGGTTGTATTTGATAAAGAGGTATATCAAGGGAAAGATGACATATTTGGGTGCAGTAACTTAACCACTTAAAAATCTTCATTATTTTATCTAGATGTTTCTCTCAGTGAGCTCACTACACAGCCATCCTTTGGGAGGCTGACAGCAAGGGTGAATTGACTGAGACCAGCTCCAACCTTTGGGGTGTCTCGAGGCAGCACAGGCAGGACCCTGAGATGGGAAGGCATCGGTGAGGGATATTCCAAAAGGGGGAGAGGGGATCGGATGCAAGGAAGACACAGGAGTCAGAATTGAGTGCAAGTCTTCCTGCTTTTCCTTTAGCAGGTCTTTATTTATATTGTGTAGCAAGTAGTTAATTGTAATAATGCATAAGATGAGTTAATGAGGTATCTCCATAAAACATTCTCAAGGACAAGGGAAAAAGCATTCTTCTGTTTACAATTTATGGTATGCTAAATTATACGTTTTTGTGACAGTTATCATATATACAGCTGTCTAGTTATCATCAAAGGAGGAGGAGTCTGGAAAAGGGTGAGCTTGTTAGCAAAAGGTTGCTAGGGATCTTGGGATAGTAATAAATTGTGTTAGCAGTGTCATCAGTGATTGTCTAAGGAAAAGCTAGTGGGTAATTTGAGGCTAACAGAGAGTAGTTTGTGCTTGCTTTAAAAAGGAGTAAATTAAGAGAAAGTTGTATAGTTGTATATCAAACGACACCTGTGTAGTCAAGGTTAAAATTTGTCCATGAGTCCTTATGCCCTGGGAGCCTTATCTGAAGTTTATTTTTTATTCAAAGAAACCAAGGAAGCTTCCCAGGAGTTTTTTATGTCCTGGGGTCTTATAGCTCCTGGGGCTTGGCTTTTGTCTCAGGAGACAGAGGAATTTCTCACCCTGGGGTAGCTTGCCTGAACCAGCAGCTGCCTGTGTGGCTAAGACAATCCAGTTGTAAACTGAATGTTGCTCAGAATATTTTGATATTATGTTTATACAAAAAAAGGGAGGTCATAACATAAGTTAGCAATGGTCAGTCTGATTTTTCAGAGCTTATCCCGATCCACCCGGAATCTGTCAGACGATGGACGTTGCATAGCTTGTGTCAGTGAATGAAGACACATCTTTCCAGATACTTAACTGCACTGTCTCTGCTTGTTATTCATTGTTCAGCAAAGGATTTGAAAGCTTAGGGATTTGCTGCATAAAACTAATTCCTTAGCTTTTCTTAATGATGTGTAGAGTTCTGGTCTACTAAGGTACAGTATTATTCCCAGGATTTTCTTTGGTTTGTATAACTGGTTTGCATGGCTTATTTCTTCAGAATACAGTAAATGAAATGAAATGAAGCTCTAAAAATACTTATTAAAGGCTTCTCAAATAAAAAATAGAATTGCTGACACATAAAATAATTAAATATTTTAAGCACTCTGCGATTTATAATTATACTACATTGGAAAACACCAGACATACAAATAGCATGCAATGCATGCCATCTAAATAGTCATATTAAAACTCTATCATGAAAAATATTTTATGAGCAGCACTTAAATATTAAAGATTAGATTTTTTAAAGAATAGTTACATGAAGCAGCAATTGAGTTATCTATTATGGAATAGATTCTTCTGAAATCTAGGTTAAAGTATGTTCTCTAATATACTAATATAATTAAGCTGTAACTAACTATAACATTATATTTCAAAGGAATGGACTTTTCTTTCCTCTCACATTAAGAAATGGCTGCAATGGGCCCTCCCTGGTGGCGCAGCGGGTTAAAGCACAGCACTGAGAAGCTAAAGCCACTTCCGCATGAGTTCAATTCCCGCCTGCCCCGGAGGTGACCACATGGCTGGCAGACCTCTCCTGACCCGCCGGCTGCTCCCCTCAGCAGTGTACTTCGTAGATCTGCCTGTTCTGTTCCCCACTCTGTCTCTGGTGAAGCTCTCGCCGCCTCTGAGCCTCTGGCCTGTACCCCAGTTCTGTATGCACAAATAAATAAATCTTTTTTTAAAAAATGGCTGCAAAATAAAGAAAATAGGTCAAAAATGCTTGTCCTTTATGGTAAAGAATTGTGTATATAATAGCATATCTTAGCCTATATCTTTTTGCTGTTATTTTTATTTATTTATAGATACAGAATTGGGGTACAGATCAGAGGTGCAGGGGCAGCAAAAGGATTCACCAGAGAGAGAGAGTGGGGAGCAGAACAGGCTACTGAAGAAATACACTGCTGAGGGGAGCAGCGGGCAGGCCAGGAGGTCTGCCATGACATGTGGGTCACCTCCAGGTTGGGGATCGAACTCATGCTGTAGTGGCTTTAGCTTCTTAGTGCTGCGCTTTAACCCGCTATGCCACCAGGGAGGGCCCACCCTATATCTTAAATGAATTCTTTATATTGTGTTAGTCCTTATATAGATCTATTATTTTAAAAAACAAAAAAAAAACCAGATTGACAGTTTTTTTGTAGACAGCATTCTATGTATAGAATTGTTAAAATCTCATTTGATAAGAACATAAGTAAATATAAGTACTTTCCAGTTTTACTACATAACCACTTACAAAACCACTTAAAATCTCAGGTTTAAGAGTCTGATCATGTCACATAATCTTGATTATATCAGTGGTCTCACTGCCATCGGAAGTACAAGGTGATTTTCAAGGGTTATTTATTCATACTCCCCCACTTTGTTTCAGGTGGATCATCCATGCTATGAAATATGAACTACAGATTCGTGGTGGAGACAAGCCAGCCATAGACTTATATCAGCTGTCACCTAGTGAAGTCAAACAACTCCTATTGGATATTCTCCAGCCTCTACAGAATGGGAGGTAAAAGGGGTCCTTTGTTAACCATATGACCCTGTGGATTTACACTAGCATCCTGACGTTAACATCTATATGAAATTCGTAAAATAGTAATAAGAAATAGAATGTGTTGAAATATAAGGCTGTTTATTAGATAGGAAGTATAAACAATATTTTAATTAAATATCTTAAGTTTTCATTTTGTGTTGATTTAACTTTTATACCTCCTTTCAAGTCTAGTTCTTTAAATGTTTCTCAGTTTTTATTCTTATTCTGCACAGAGTGTAGCACTTCATAACACTTTGGTGAGCCCCTTTCTGAGCCTTAGTTGTATTCACCATCTCCTCCAAGCATTTTGGCGTACAGGTTTGAGTTTGGTTTCTGCTATATAAATATGTTGCCTGTGTCTCTATCTCCAATGAATTGAAGAATACTTTTTATAATAAATTCATGTGGGCAAACATTTATTGAGCATTGTTTGTGTACCTGATATTTTCCAAGGTATTTTAGTTAATTACCTGCCTAGGAATGACTAGAAGTCTTCTGAAAACATAGATTTGAATAAATCGAAAAATATTCTTCTACTTATATAGCAACACTGAACGTAATGAAGATGCCAATTATAAATTTAATGCAGTTCCAATAAAATTCCACCAAGCTGTTTCACAGAATTCAAAAAGTTAATAAGAATCTGAAAACACATATATATAAGAATATCTAGAAAAACATAAAAGAAGGACTTGCCCTAGCAAGTAAAAAATATAGTAAAGCCTCCATTATTAAAACATGCTGGTACTTGAATAGACAGGTAGGCCAAACACAATAGAATCTCCAAAATTAGATCACCAAACACATAGGAAAATTTATATAAATAACTGAATCAAGGATAGACTTTAAAATAAGTAATAATAGGCCCACTAGATAGACATATAAAAAATATAAAATCAAATCCTTACTCTATACCATATACAAGTGCTCAAAAATAATTATAGCAATGTGTCAGAAGGTTACTGAAGATAGTTTGTAGAAGACTCAATGGCTAAAGCTAGAACAATTTGAACAAAAATAAATAAATAATGGTAGTACCCCCAGAATAAATATCCAGGAGTCTATACTGATAAAAATAGATAAAGGTAAGAAAAGGTACACTTCTGACAGGAGAATTTTGATTAATAAATATGGATGGAATGCTAGAACTAGGAATTCACTATTAGACTATTACCACAGTTATAATTGTGCAGACAGAAGCCATGAATTGATGCTAAATTTAATGGATGGAAGGATAATGAGTAGTGGACATTTTGCATAACTTAAGAGTAGTTCCACTGAAATACTTAATTTTCCTTTTAGTTATAAAAGGAAAAATAGTAACTTTAGAGTGAAGAAATAGTACACTCTACCTTAATCAAATGATCAAGGTTAACATCACCAGTAATAAGACACATCACATACTCCCTGACGTGATGACCTGAAAAAGGAACAACTACTTCTTGGGTATTCTAATAAAAACATATGTCTAATCATGGGAAATTCCACAGTGTAACTGACATTTCAAAGGTGTCAAAGGCATGAAAGATGAAGATGGAAGAACTGTCACCCGACATAGGAGCCTGAGGAAACATGGCAACTGGGTACCCTTTGGGGTCCTAGATTGAATCCCTGGGCCCAAAACAAGGAAATTAGTGGTAAAGTTAGTGAAATTTGAATAAGATTCATGTGTCAATAGTATATATCAATGTTCTTTTCCTGTTTTTGACATTGTGCTATTGGTTATGTCAGGTGACAAGTCAGGAAAGCTGAGTAAAGAGGATAAAAGCCAAACCAGAGGGTAAGGCAGTCTGCATACTCATAACCCAGAGTCAGGCATCACGCAGCCCCGTCTCTGGGCTTCTCTTCAGCCTATCCCTGAACCCAGCTGTGAGGTTCTGGCTGACGGAACGCAAAGAAACTGCATCGACAAAGAAGCCTCTCTCACTTTTTTAGTGATAAAATCTCACTGTTCCTCTTCCACCAGAACAGAAATTCTTTTTCCATTTACTATATTTTGCAAAGCTATTTTCGTACCTAAAAATGTTTTTGGTTATGACTCCCTTAAGGCTGACAACATATTTCACTTTGCTGCCCTTTTTAGTACCAAATATTTAAAATGTGTATTTTTTTCATATCTTCAGCTTTTGGACGAATATACTATGTCAGTTGTGTGTTCTTTTAAAATTATGCAAATTCTCTATCGTTAGTTTGTGAATAGAAGTATTATATCTTTAAGATTTAATATTTGATCTATGAAAAGAAGAGATCTAAATTTTGGCTTATTATTACATTCTAATTATGACATGTAAGATTTTTATAGCTGACTTTTTAGCAATGAAAATACTTAAAAAAATCTTACTGGTTTAAAATAAGGTAATTTAGGTAACATGTTTTGAGTATATATTCATTTATATATATTTATTCATTTATCAAATGCTGAGTAAACACCATTCCAGGAGTTGTGTATAGGAGCCATTAAACTCTGATTCCTATAACTTTGTAGAACTTACATTTTATTGTATGTAAGGGCCACGGAGACTTCTTTTGAAATTGATAGTTCCTGTGTTTTCCAATGGAGCTGCTTTGCACGTTAGAAAGTCATTTACTCACATAGTGGGCAGCCTTATGACTTACTAGAGAACAACATTTTGTGTATGAAGCTTTTTAAAGTCTTGGGGATTTTCTCTTTCCCTGCAAGCTCTATTTTCACTATGAAACATTTAGTAACTTCTGTTGCACATAGTAGATATGCATTATTGATGAAGTTGGCTTTTATTGCCCACCCAGCTGGAACAATTAAACCATATTGAAAGCCCTGCTTTCTACCAGAACAAACTTGTTTTTAAGCTCTGAGATATTTTCCTTTGGCCTACAGATGTTGGCTGAACAGGCGTCAGATCGATGGGTCTTTGAATCGAACTCCTGCTGGTTTCTATGACAGAGTGTGGCAGATCCTGGAGCGCACACCCAACGGCATCATGGTAGCTGGGAAGCATTTGCCACAGGTAAAGCTCCCTCCTGTTCATGCCAACCAAAAAGACTTCTAAAGGCGAATCCACCCTCCCACCCCAGACTGCAAATAACCTATCTGCTCCTTCCTTTCTGTAAGAGCATCTAAAGGGAGGTGGGGTGCGGTGAGGAGGTCTGAGGAAAATAAGAAACATTATCAGTTGAATTGGAAATATTTTTCCCCTTTTAATTTTTGATTTTAATATCCCTTTACACAAAATCCCTACTATACCAAATGGGTATATTGCTTAAAAGTTGTATTTAATCAAAACAGTCTTTTGTATTACATTTCAAATGTTTCAAGGAAAGTTCTCTACTTAAAGGATCCCCCTGACCAAGCCTTTTGCCAAACAAGCTGTTCTTCCTGTGGTTACTTAATCATGGGTTTATTTTTCCTCTACTGGTGTCACTGTGAGTGCTGAGGCTCCTTCCTCACGATGGTGGAGAGCAGTGCCAGGGACCTCACAGGCAGTAGGCATACATGAGAGGACAGAAGCTAACCGTGTCTGAGAAGCAAGGTGACTTAGTGAAACTGTGGATGAGGAAACCGGACATGAAGCTGCAGTAACTTTTTAGGTTATTAGGCAGACAATTGCTTATGTTACTCAAGGTGTAACTTTCCTTTGGTCCAAATGAATCAATGTCTCCTCCTTCAGATGGCTTCCCAAGTTATCTAAACTGGTCTTCTTCAATTTGACTATTTTATTTAGTTAAAAGCATTCTGCTTATATACAAAAATTAATAATTATGCCTCTGTAAATGTAGGAAACTACATTATATTTGTTTCTAGTGTTGAAATGTCAAGCAATTTTTTTGATGATCTTTATAAAGTATCTTAAATATATACATGTACATGTATGGAAAGTATTTCTGAAAGGACCACAGGAAATGTATAGTATTGTTTTGTCTTTGAGAAAAGGAACTGTCAGTCTCAAGGAACAGGATGGGTTTTTCACTGAAAACCCCTTTTTTAATATACTTATTTTTAAAAGGAGGCTGCTTTGCATGTACTTCAAAAGACTCAATAATTTTTATACCACTGTACCTCCTAGTGATTACTTGTTGAATCCTTTCATTAAGCCCCTAAGCAAGTTGTTTACTTCTACATAAATGAGTACCGGTTCTTTCTCTTTCTTTTATATAAAGGCCTTGTCCAGCTCTAACTAGAGGGAAATCTGAGGGGAGGATGTAGAGTATCAATTTCGGGAGAAGACTGGAACTTCCTTTGCTTCTGAGTGCATTCCAACCTTGGGCTTCATTCTGTGAATAGGAAACATACTGGAAGGTTGGGGATTCAGGAAGCTTCTCAGCCAACTCTGGGTCTTTGGGCTTTCCACAGGGGTCTCTCTGGCCTTTACAGATAGATGGGCCCCTATTTTCAAAGCTGTGATGAAAGCCGCACCTAAGGTGCCTCACAGCAGGCACGATGTCGCAGCCAGCTGGAACAATGAGAATTAACAGAAACTTTTTACAAGTGCTCTTCCTGATAGCAAGCTGATGAGCAGCTGTACATGACTGCAGCCCAGGCTGCGGCCTGTCCCGGCCGTCTGCGCAGTGGTATAGGCGTAGCCCCGGCCGTCAGCCTGTGCAGCCCCTGCTGCTCATGTCCCACTGCTTCTAGTGCCCTGTCTGCACCAGGGACCATGGCAAACCCTTTCACAGCTTCTTCCTCAGCCCCACGGATAGCTGCCAGATTTTCATTTCATTGTTTGAATGTGTGGGCCATGAACATTCATTCCCATCCTCTCCTTGCTAACAACAATTAAGTACCTGTGAGGTATTTGTACATACCTGGCACTTTCCTAAGTGTTCCTTACTCCTCAAAACCGAAAACCATGTACTTTATTATTTCCTCTTGACAGATAAGGAAATGGGAGCATAGCTAAGTTGCTTCCCTCCGGTTTCACTCCTAGGCAGTAGCTGAACACAAGTGTGACTGACCTCTTGGCAGTTTGACCTCTCAGCCTTTCAATTTAATTGTTCTGCTGTACTACTAACCCACAGTCTTTAGAGAGCAGGACATATAGTAAGCTTGATATGTCACTTCTAGGCATATAGGAGTTAGTTGACATGTCAAATGAGACATTAAAAGGAAATTGATGTGAAGCCATGAAAGGTTCTTCCATCAATCCCATTACTATACAGCTAAATAATTTTAATTGCTTTATTCAGCAACCAGACTTCACTTTCCCTAAATTAACTACAACCTAATTAACAGTGTGTTGACTGCATTGAATGGAGAATACAGTAGATGGGGCATATTGAATGTAGGACTTAGATACTATTACATAGACAGAATATATCTGCTGTTGTTTGGTTGAAAAGGGACATTCCTTCTGGTCCTATTTTGAGTTGGAAGTAAATGCACATTGTTCTGAGGCTATGATTAAGTTCACTACAAATCATTGTTGAGATAAAAGGAAATAAAGACTCATCAGATCTGTACCCCTGGTAGTATTTCTGGTCATTCCAACTTTCTACCTTACAATCAAAAAGTAGACTTCCCTACCATTCTTCAAAGCTTCTCTATGCCCAGATTTCTGCTCAGGTTTGACCTTTTTTTCTACTTTCACTTGGTTTGTGAAAAGTAAAATGGAAGCTATGTAATACTCTTCTTTTAGATGAAATTTATATAAAGGCTAGAATCGAGAAGATTCTTTTGAGTTTGCTTCTTACTACCTGCTTACCCTTTCTCTACATGATGTTGTTTTTGCTTATCTGCATGCATTTTTCTGCTGCCAGCTCAGGAAGGCCCTGCCCCTATAGTGACAGGAGTCAGCAGCTAGGGCTTGACTGACAGCAGCATAACTTCTGATGTTACTTCTGAAGGCAATATGTACTTTATTTGGTGTCTCAATTTTTGGCTATTCCTTTTCTATATCAAATTGAATTTCTAACATAGTCCTTTCCTCCAAAAATTAATATAATAAAGATAACTACAAAAACCAGAAGGTTTAATTTATCACAGTGGTCAAGCTGGTTGGCCTCAGTAGCTTGACGCATAAAATTCAGTTGTACAGTGAAAATGTTCTCCATAGCTTTATAGCAACTGAAAAAGATTATTGACTAGAAAATGAAATTCCTCTGTTAAGTGGGAACTAGAATATAACAATGCAGCCTGTTTATGTTGAGTTTTGTTTTTTTTTGTTTTTTGTTTTTTTTAGCAACCAACCCTGTCAGATATGACCATGTATGAGATGAATTTCTCTCTTCTTGTTGAAGACATGCTAGGAAGTATTGACCAGCCAAAGTACAGACAGATCATTGTGGAGGTTTGTATTAGATGTCAGTGGCTGAAGACGTGCTTCTATCTGTATCCGCTCCTTGAAGTCTAGTGCAAGGGAAACGGCCCTGGAGACCAGTCACGCGCTGCCCACTGGGCCCGAGTCCCTCCCAGCTGACCTTGGCCTTATTGAGGTGCCTCGGAGGTGCCAGCAGCACCATAAGACAGACGAAGGGACTTCTGTTTTGTTTCTAGTTTTTTCTTTTTTCAGAAATAATATATGGCTATTATAGAAAGTTTCAGTAGGTGAGAAAATTATCGAAGGAAAACAAAAGTCCTTTACATACGAGCAAGGTATTCTGAGAAACATTTTCCACATCTCTCTGTGAGCACATCAGAAACGTAATGTTGTGCTGTGTCGTCAGCGCTTGTGTCGGTGGAAGGGTAGGTGCTAAAGTACACACATGCGTGCTTTTGACACTTTAAAACATTATACCAAAGTAGAGAATTCCCCCCAAAGAATTAATCTAGTTTTCTTCACTGTGTTCGCCTTTCCAAGTCTGGTGCCTCGCATAGCAGTCCTCCGTCTTGACCAAGATGAGGTCATTTCTCTGCAGAAGTAATTCTCCTTTAGAACGAGAACAAACCTTTGTATTCTCCTGGCTAACATCCCACCTGCAAGGTCTCCCACCTCATGACTCCTAGAGTTTATGATGGAGTTTCCTTTATTTCTTATTTCTTTCAAATCCTACTTTGAAAGCATAAAATAGAGTCAGTAAGCTTCCCAAATTGGGAATTACAAGGTATGTTTCCTGTTTCATGAACAAAGTAGAAATATAATCATTAGGAAGTCTTTATCCAACATTATGTGCTCCATCATTACATATAAAATTTGTCACTGCTTATTTGAAATAAATGTGTGGGTAGCCCAACAACAGAGGGTGCATTAAGCTAGGATGGTTTATACAGAATGAGTAGTATTCACACAGAGAGCAGAAGGTGGTGTATTTCTTAAAATATAATCATCTGGTAGCGCAACGGGTTAAAGCCACTGCAGCATGAGTTCAATTCAAAGCCAGGGAGGAGACCCACATGGTGTGGCAGACCACTCCTGATCTGCCCACTGCTCCTTTCAACAGTGTATTTTAGTCAGTCTGCCTGTTCTGCTCCCCATTCTGTCTCTGGTGAATCTTCCCACCCCCCACATCTCTGTTCTGTACCCCAGTTCTTGTGTACATAAATAAATAAATCTTTAAAAGTATATAACCATCTTCTGAGAAATAGCTATGGGGTCACAGAATTTGTGGGGTGCTGACCTCCAAAGCATTTGATCTTAGCCTAGATCCAGGGTTTCCACCGAACTCATCCACCTTCTCCACCCTCCTTGCCTTCGGTCTGTCATGTGGAAGCCTTTGCTCCACTAGACACAGATTTCATTGTCTGCCCAAAGGCCAGAAAGGGAGTGCTGTGTACTATGTATTGGGTTAGGAGAGTCATTTTTCTAAGTTACTAGTGACTAAAAACATTTCTGTATAACTTCAGGGATGCACTTAATGGAAAAAAAAAATGCAGCATCCAAACAGAACTTGAGCTGCTAGTTTGAAAGATCCAGGAAGATTCCACCCATATATAATCCTAAAGCCTCTAATTGTATAGGACACCCTGTGGAATATGAGGTCATCCATCAATCTGACTAAAGAATGAAAACATGCCCACACTCTGTCACTTTTATGGGTCATATAATTGACTTTCAATGTCTGTCTCTCCTAGTTACTAATGGTTGTGTCCATTGTACTGGAAAGAAACCCTGAGCTCGAATTTCAAGACAAAGTAGATCTTGACAAACTGGTGAAAGAAGCATTTCATGAATTTCAAAGAGACCAGAGTCGACTAAAGGAAGTTGAAAAACAGGTGAGTAGAGAAAGAGTTCTTTGAGACATTTTCTTACTGTCTCAATTCTTCAGACTATTCCTAATCTCTTATTTACAAAACATATTTACCATGTACAAAATAAAGTCCTTGGGGTCAGGGGAAATCTGGTCCCAGGCTTTGAGAACTTGTTACTTTTAGTTACTAGTTTTTTCAGCTATGAAGTTCTGACTAAAATGAAAACTAAGAGATAAATTTCTTTTATGTATTTAGCAATTAAAATGTGCTTTACCAGAGAGGAGACATAGATTCCAGAAGGCTATAAAATTAAGTTCTGGGGAGGGTGGGAGTGTGTAATAGACTTCACAGAGCTGGTCCCACCTGAGGTATTCTCTTCCAGGCTCTCTATTTAATACTTTATGCTCATCTCAGGAAAGTTTATCTAAGTAAATGAAAATTATCAGCAACTACGAGAATATTGAAAGTGTCTTTCTTTGTTTTATTTGCTGAGAAGATGCCTCAGGAAAACAAAGAGGTGCTCAAGAAGCTCCTATTTTCCATGAGGAAATCTTCCTGTGAATTTATTTCCCCCCTAGGCTGATACTGATTTTACCTGGCAACTCTTTACAAAGAGAAAATCAAATGACTTGCTCACTGTTTTCCTTGGTAGGATGACATGACTGCCTTTTACAATACTCCCCCACTGGGAAAAAGAGGCACGTGCAGCTACTTGACAAAGGTGGTGATGAACTTGCTGCTGGAAGGAGAAGTCAAGCCAAGCAATGATGACCCATGTCTGGTTAGCTGAGGAGGAAGGCAGAAGACGCGCCGTTGAAACTCACTTTCTAGAAACTGTGTTAAGGTTTGTGTTGCAACTTAGATAAAGCAGCTCTTCATGCAACACTAGTGATGCTGGTGATGTGGCTGCCACGCCCTTAACAAAGCAGGGGCCTGCTCGTGCCGCCACCAGCCCAGTGGTAAGCGGTGCTATTAATCAGATGAAGAGCAGGTCTTAGGATTATGCCAACTGCAATAATAGTGTTTACCGAACAGTAGAAATAGCCTCTGAATTGGAAGTTCACTACTGCACGTGTGTTTAAGGATCAAATAAGTCATCAAAATAAAACGTTGCTCATTGCACTAAATTCCCACCTATTGCCATGAAAATGACAGAGTGGGGTTGAAAAGGTAGTGAAGGGAGGTGAATGCTGTCTTGTGCATTGTCAGGCTAGAAGAAATGTCAGTATGCCTCAAAAAGCCAAATCACCCAGCTGACGTTTTGATTCTCAGAAACTGCATCATTATTTCAGTAGTTGGAGCTATTGAATCATCTTTACTTTATAAACAAGATAGTGGTTTGTGTTTGTACTAACCATAGGATTGGATTAAAAGACAATACAATAAATCTAGACTGTGCCAAACACTTTTGACTTTGAATTCTTATGAAAACCAGAATATGTGTAAGAGTATTCAGGAATATGGACTGTTAACAGTTTATACTAGTAAATATAAAATTAAAAGTCATTAAATTTTATTTCTAATTTAATGAATATATCTGAAACATCCTTTGGTCTCATCATGCCTGAATGTTTTCATTTAATTGATCGGAAATGAAATGGGGGAGAATCTCTGGTATCCATCATCATTGCATATTTTACTGCCAAATTTGCTCAATAAAAATAGAAAGTGTATAAAGCATTTAACTTCTGTAAATATATTTCCTTAGTGAACGTTGCTGTGTAACCCATTAGTTTGAGTACTGGCCCCAAAGAGAGTCATTTTTCTAACTAGTGTAATGGAGTTCTATCTGCAATGTCAGACTTGCCACATAAAATAAAACACAACCCATTTGTAGAATCTTAAAAGGGTCTAAGAAAGGATGAGTGGCCTCAGTAACAAATCAAATCGAAAGCAAGTAAGCGAAGGTGTGAACACATGGAAAATCCAGTCAGTCCATTTGGCATTACTGTGAGGTACATCTCTAAATCTTGCTAAGAAATCATGGTTGGCAAAATGGAAGAGAATGAGGTAAAATATGGCCTTACAGGACACATTAAGGAGATGAATATAGCAAAGAAGACTTGATATATTCTTAAAGGAAAGTTTATGAAAATGTAATGATGAAGCTAGTTTATAAAGTATAAGCATAAAAAAATGAAGGCAAGGCAGTAATGCAGTAAGAAAGAAGGATGAAAACTTCACAGCTAGAAATGGAAATTAAGAAGAAAACTTGAAATATTTGATATTTGCTACAATTTATAGGAATGTAAACCATATTTCATTTTTAAAAATTAAAAAAAGTCTGATTAGTTGAAAAAGTTTTCAAAAAGCTGCTGCTCAGTTGAAATCAAACATCATTTGCAAATGTTTATTTCCCAAATGAATTTTAACTTCCTGCTTCAGTGTTACACATGCAGAATTCTGAAGTTCCCTGTGCGACTGAGGCATTAAGAACCAGTCACATATTTATCAACTTTGTGTTTTGATGAAATTCACAACTTATTGTCAGACATATCAGAATCAACAAAGCTTGATGTTCACCTCTATGGAAGCCATGCTTGATTGTCTAATTAAAAATGCCAAAAATAGCGAGGGATTAGAGCACAAAAGTCAGTGAATTTGAGGAGACCCATTTGGGCTGCAGTCAGTATTTTAACAGCCATACTAGACACTGACTGAAAATATTAGCACATATATCCAGGCATGTCAAGATTTAAATCTGATTTAAAACTTAACTCTACCACAATGGCAGATTCATTGTGTAAGTTTATTGGACAAGCAACGTCTGTTGAAAACTTCTGGCTGCATATCAAATGCAACTACATTTCCTGAGCATCATTTTAAGAAATCTGGTGTTTTTCAGATTTCCTTCCTTTTATTTAAGTGTGAAAACATCATATTTCAATTTTAAAAAAGTCAGAGAGCATGGGATGTCATCTTCAATGTGTGATATACTTGCGGAGCCTTCTGGACACAAGTGTAAGCTTCCATCTCATTTTTTGAACGCCTGAATAAACTGAACTTTTCACAAGAACTCTAAATGAAACCAGAGCCCCACAGAACCAGCTGTGGGGCATAGCCACCTTTGTCAGGGCCAGGCCCTAGGTGGCAGCAGCTGGAGCTGAAGGCAGGAGCTGCTGGCACAGAAGGGACTTCCCAGCACCAGCCAGATTTGAGCACAGAGCCCTGTACTGATGGCCAGACAGCCGCGTGTGGGAGTTTCCTGCTGGCATGCCAGCCCTGCCTTTGGGCAGCTCCCAGGATGCCCATATAGGGATGCTGCAGGATGGCCACAGGGGCCACTCAATGGGCCAGGGTTAATGGCCACCCTGCACTAGGTGGATTTGACCCCCCAGAACTGCTCCCCTTCCTCGGGGCTCATGTGCCCAGTCCCAGAAGCCATTTGTCCTGGTAAAATGCCAGGCATTTTACCTCACCACCAGCAGCCCCTTGGGGGCTCAGCTGCTGGCAGAAGCCAGCAATGATGGCAGCAACACTTGTCTTCATGCCAAGCTGCTGCAGGGCATATAGCCATGGGGCCACAGAGACAAGGTTGCCCTGTGCTGGAGGGAGCCCCAGCCAAAGAGGCAACAGAAAGCCCTGGGGCCCTTGGTGCAGCACTGCAGGGAGGAGCAGGAGCCAGTGGACCAGCCCAGCACTGAGGTTCCTGGAGCTGCAGGCAGGAGAGAGGCCCGTGACACCCGGGGCCAGCGTGGAGTGCCTTCAACAGAACCCCCAGCAGCAGCTCTGGGGCCTGTGTCCTTCCTTTTCTGTTAAACACATGGCCCCACTGAAGGGGTCAGCATTCTGAGTGCTTCAGGCTTCCCTGAGGCTAGCTCGGGGTGTGGTTCCTCAGAGCCCATCAGCCCATGAGCCTGCCCTAAGGTCAGAGCAGGTTGTGTTTATGCAGGCACTGATTTTTCCCTTTTTATATTTGGTGCCTGAATTGTAGAATTGCTCACACCAACCAGGTGTGAGCTAAATGAACTAGTCTGGTTCAATCCGTTTATTAGTTATTTGGACTGAAAATCAAGAATAAGCTGTTTAGTGCACAATTGTGAATTCATCACTTAGGATTGAAAATGGTCTTATCAGGGTTATAGGGTGGGGGGCCCTGAAAGAGGATATAAGGCAAGTAGGAGCCAGCTAGAGAGCAACTCTAGTTCTGGCCTCCAAAGAAAGAAGAAAGATCATTAGTCAACTGGAAAAAGAAGAAACATCCAGCAGCCAACCATTGAAAAAAGACTAAAAATCAAAAACCATCACACCCACCTCAGGTCCTGGCTCTGACCTCACCTGAAAGGAGCACCTGGCCTCCACCAGGTGCCCCAAACAGCTGTTTGTTGTGGAGGCCAGCGCGAGTCACAAAGAATTGTCAGCACTGGTGTCTCTGACACTGCCTCCTGGTGACCATTAGTGATTGGCACTACCAGTCAGTGCTGTCCAGCACTGTTTGCCAGTGACAGTTGTAGTGCCTGGGTCACCCTTGAGAGTTGTCCATCGCTTCTGATCATCCAACAACCCCTCCGAGATACAGTCTCCATTGCTGTCCAGCCCAGCCTTTAGACTTGCTGTGGGCTACTGCAGTGCCGTGTCACCAGCCCCACCTATGAGCACCTCCAGTTACCTGCATGAGTTGGATCCTGGTCCTCTGCTTGCCAGTGTGCCACGATCTCTAAACCCTCATTGAGTGAGAAATCTTTTGTCTGGGATTTCTGGACACTGTGGAAGCTACCTGAGGTGAGACAGTTGGTTTAGAAGCTGTTTTCTCTATTTGTCATATAAACCCCAGTGCTGTTATTCCCTAAACCTGCATGGTCTTATAATTGTGCATGTGTTAGAAACCACAGATGGTGACCTCTATGCCTCCATTTCAGAGAGTAGATTCAGACATGCTTTTCGCCCTTTGTGAACTTGCATGTTGAGTAGATGGCATATAAACATTGAAGGAATCAATTTAATGCTAAAACAATAACATAGAGAGGCCACATTTAAATCAAGGAGAGACAGAATGGCGTAGTGGCTTGCAGCCCTGTCTTAAAACTGCTCATCTCAGAAACTGAAAACATCAGTGAAAAGTGAGGGGGGCAAACAGCAGCAACAGCACTCAAGAGGAAGCAGAACAACTTCATCAGTCTACGGAGACTGTAGCAGTAAGACAAAAGACTCTCTGACGCTTGTATTTGGCTCCTTTGTTCTGGCCTCTTAGAAGCTACAGAGTATGATGACAAGGTCATTAGCTAAGTTATGAAAATTAATGCATTTGGAGGGAAACAGATGAAAGTTGAGCAGCATCTGGAGAAAAACCATCGAGGGCAGCATTCTTCCCTACCACCCAGACCATCCTGTTTCCAAATGCCCCCAGTCCCAGGGGTGAGGGACAAGATGATTTTTAGGGCTGATGTGTGCAGGCCTCAGTTCCCCAGCTATGGGGTCCTGGTGAATCCCACTGGGTCTGGCTCAGCCATCGCTCCCTGGAGCCAACAACCCACAAGCCGGCTCTGCCCTGAGAGCAGGTGGGCTGGGCTTTTCTCCTTGTATATCTGGCTCGAGCATTCAAAATGGATCCATAGGGCTAAATTGGGTTCATTAGTTAATTATTTAGATTGAAAATGGAAAACAAGCCCAAAGGTGCTAAGTGGTCTAATCAGACCCCTAGGATGGAAAATGCACCAATAATGAGACTTGTAGGGTGGGGACCCTGAAGGGGATAGAAAGCAGAAAAGGACCAGCTTCATTCATTCTGCTTCTGGCCTTTGAAGAAGCAGCATTCCTCAGGCTACCTCAGAAGCCAGCAGCCAGTCTTCAAAGAGGGAGCATTGATTGGACTCCCTTCGAAGAAGAGGGGTTTGCTCCTGGCCTCTGAAGAGAGAGACACATCAGGCTATCACCTCCACGGAATTCACCAGAGGGTCTTAGACTTCACAGACCTCCATAGACTTCAGACCCCCACCCCCTGGTAGACCTTCACAGAGACTCAGCCACGGCACTGATGTCTCCTGCAGGATGACTCTCAGCCTTGGCCCAGCATCTCAGGGCTGACACAGACTCCGGTTCTCTGAACCACCACCTGGTGTTGTTGAGCCTGTCACTGTCAGAGTTGTCACCTGACCCAGCCTTCAGTCTGCTGTTGTGGGCTACTGCAGTGTCACCTGATCTTCATGAGGGGCCTGTGGGATTTCTGGGCACTAGGGACGCTGTCTGGGGTGAGACAGCCAGCCTCTGGGGCCTTAGAAACTTCAGCCCCCCAGCTTCCTGTTTCTTAAATAAACCCTGTTGTTGGCCCCTGAGCCTCAGTGGCTTTGCAGTTGTGTTCAGAGAGACACTGGGGAATGTTCGAGGCCTGGCCTACAGCCTTCTGTGGGGGGTGCTCTGCCCTGCTCTGCTCTGCTGGGGGTTGGATCATGGGGAACCAGGCAAATGCGGCAGCCAGGAGCTCAGGAGCACAAGCTGCTCTGCCTCAGGTCCTGACTAGCTGCTAGGCAAGCCCCACCTCTCCACGCCTCACACTGCCTTCTAGAACATTCGCCAGCACTTGTGCAGCCTGTTCTCTCAGGATATCCAAACTATTCCTGTTGTTTGCACACAGGAGTTGTAATAGAAAGATCTGTTTAACTAGCTATAAAGTAGAAAGCTGAAAGAGGGGCTTGTATGAAACATCGTATTTATTCTAGCAGTTTAATTTC